AAACAAAAATGATACCTAAAAAGGTTTAAAAAGCATTTTAAAAAATGAAAAATCTTTCGAGGCCCTTATTTTAGTTTTTTTTATTCCAAACTAATAGATTAGATTTCTAATAAACAAAATACTTTAATGTATTTTACTTTAATGTATTTCAAATTGGATTTAAATTTATTGGAATGATTTGTTATCATCATCAGTAAAATTGTACATATTGACCAATCTGTCAATCCATCATAAAAAAAAAAAAAAAAAAAAAAAATCCACAAAAAAAAAAAAAAAAAAAAAAAAAAAAATCATTGAAAAATAAAATTTACTTTTGTGAAACAATAACTGAGAAAATGTAATCTGAATTGAAACAAATATTACTTTTAGTTTAAAATATAGAAAAGCATTTTTTTTTTTAAGATGGTGATGAGTATTATGTTTGGGAAATTTATCTAAGGAGATAATAGATATAAAATTACATGGATATAACAAGCAATTTTTTTCTTTTACACAGAGTGGGTTTAGAGGAAGAACAGTGTTATAACAATTTTTCTAAAAACACTAATCATCTCACATGAATAAACAGTTCTCTGATTAATACATAAGACTGCTTCCTGCAATAGGAAAAATCTATTCCATTATACTGCAGGGTTATTGGGAAATTATGCACATTATGATTTTCTATTTGGGATCAGTGTTGTACCTGTCAGATCCTCTGTTCTTTTATTGAGCAAGAAACCTTCAGAATATCATTAAAAACAATTTCTGGGGGAAGAATAAATGAGAGTGGTGGATTGGAAAAGCATAATTGAAGGAAAATAAGGTAGGAAGTAAGAATGCTCGAGAGAACCCCCCCACACAAAAAAAAAAAAAAAAAAAAAAAAATATCAAACGGTAAATAAATACAAGGCATAAAGCAATTACTGCAATGGAAACTCAAAATAGAATAAAATTAAAATAAGCTATAAAAGAATTTGAGTAGTATTTGGATTTATTTCAGGTAATATCAAAGCTGCCTCTCCATTGAAATTATTTCACTTCTTGTATTTCAGGTTTTCTGTTATAAGCCACATTCTTAACGTCACTCCACAAATCGAGTGGTGTCATATCTGTCAACTTTGATGTTCAAATCACGTCCTGTCCTACCATGCCATCAGTTTAGTATTTTTCTATTCCAAAACTCCAACAGACGAGTAATTTACAGGTGCAGCATTTTGTTGAGAGGATCATTGTAAAATACTTCTACAGAGGTGTGCGTGTGTAAGAAGTTCAATATGTGGTAGTTACTTTACAACTTGTATATACATTGGGAGTGTGTTGAAAAATTATCAGCCTGACCAAGAACTATATATTAAAAAAGGGATAAAAATATAGGTTTAAGGTATGCTATATTTATTGATAAAAGTGCTCAATACCAGATATAAAGCATGTATAAATGGAAATTAGTATTTTGGTTTTTGATTACTTTATGTGTTATATATTTACAACATGAGGTTATGGATTTAATCGTTCTCTTTTAATTTTTTTAATATTGTTGTTGTCTTGTATCTTGGCTTGTGAATAGCATTAAAAGAAGAAAAAAAATTTCAAAAACATCATTTATTCAATTTTGTTTATTAGACATTGAATTGTGTCACTTCATATCCTCCATAACTTGCCTGACTTTTCAAAGAACATGATAAATATTTCTGAGCATGTGTATACTTAAAAATTCTGGTAAAACCAATAATGTTTTTGCTTATGTACATAAATACTTGTTGGTAAATGCAGCAAGGATTTTATTTTCTATGATAAAGTTGCTGAAAGGATGAAATATGTCAGCTAAGTTTTCCTTTTGTCTTTATTCATATTGTCCTTTTACAGATATATTCTGTGTGTGTGTGTGTAATACACACAATCAAATTTTAGGAAGTGATTGAACTAAAATGTTTTGAATATCCAATATATAATTCTAGGGAGTGATAAGAGAAAAGAAAAACAATAATCCAGGCTTGTTGGCTGAATATCAAGAGACAATGAGAGAAAGAGTGAGAAGTGGGTGGAGATAGAAAAGTGTACCCTTTATGATGGACTAATTTACATATAAAACTCACCAGTGTTTATAGAACATTTAGTTAAAATGAAAATAGGAATGAATAAAGGAAAGAATAAGAGACACGTAAAAGATGATTAAAGAGAAGCGGCACAAGATCATGGATAAACATTTGGCAACAATTGTGAAATTTCCATAGGTCTAGTGAGATTGTTAGAAATGTTGTGAATACAAATTTAGCCTTTTTCTCAAGAGGGTGGCTCAGAAAATAATATCTTAAATGATGATAAAATTTGTAGCAACATAGTATCTTATTGAGAGATAATGCAGTTATGAGAGTTGTTTGTCTATATGCATACTTAAACATTGGTAATTGTTGATATGCCAATGAGGAAATATTTTATCAAGATACCTGTCAATGGGAGAGTAATAGGATAAGTGGATTCATACCTTTCTCAAGAATAATAGTTCAGAGTAAAAATACACATACAAGTCAAAAATTATCCACACTTTCACTATAACATATCTTTAGTTTTGTCACACTGCCTTCTGCTCATGCAGTGCTTATAGTTGGTACTTCTGTGGTTACGTGATTGAAGATTGATCGTAATCACACCAGTTTTCTTGCTGCCGTTACTGTGTAAACATGGCCGCTCTGCTAGCTGTGTTCACCAAGGAACAAAGAACAGTGATCTAATTTCTCTGGTTGGAAGGTGTGTCAAGGGGCAGAAATTCATTGAAGGCTTTTAACACAACTTCTGTGACAGTGCACTACCACGTAGAAGTGTGTATAAACGGATCAAGAAGTTTAAAAGTCTCCAGACAAGCATGACACACAAAGAAGGATGTCAGTCAACCTCCACCATTGACAAAAAGATTCAGAAAGGTCATGAGATGGTAACAGTGAACCGGGTGTGTTATTATCAATGAGGCAGCATGTTCTCTGCAGATTTGGATCACTGCTCCTTGTTGCACACTGCTAGTGGGGTGACCATGTTTACACTGTAACAGCAGCAAGATAATTGGCATGATCAAACTCAAACTTCGATCACATAACCACAATAGTACCAACTATAAGTACACATGAGCAGAAGGCTGTTTGACAAACCTAAAGATGTTATGCCAAAAGTGCAAATAATTTTTGACTTACCACTGTAGCAATTAAATATTCAGTTTTGAAACTTATTTCTTTTATCTTAATTTCAGTTGCTTTTTATTGCAACTGTCACTCTACAGCTGTTAGTAAACAGGGAAAAAAAAAAAAAAATGAAGTTCCAAGTGAGATTAAAACCTGTCTGAGCATGATAGCTGCTTTACAATTAAGTTATGAAACCCATTGGTTAGAGAAGTTTAAATCTTAATGATTTATTATTTTCCAATTGAGTACCAAATTCGCTGACAGCTTTAATCCAATGTAACTGTAAGTTCTATTCTAAGAGATCCTTTTCTAGTTTGTGGAATTCTCTTCTGCTATCTTTCTTTCCTGCTACTCATGATCTTCAAAAATTCAAATGCAATGTCAATCATTATCTTCCTTTTTCCTGAATTCTGTTCTTTTATTATTCTTTCTCCTCATTCTTTCACTTAGTAACATCTAGAGCCTTAGTGGCATTATTGCCTTGCTTGGAATGAAATTTTTGTATTGTGATAAGCCACCTACTACATTTGCACCAATTTTTCACTTAGGATACTTTCATTTGTTTTTTTTTTTTTTTATTTCAAAATTTTTCACTAGAAATTTGTCATTTCTCAAGTTAAATGTTGTGAGAGTTCTAAGCGACAACAATTGCATCATTTAACATCTTTTATATCCAAGTTCATTGAAATGATCTTCAGCTGAGCCTGTTGAGAGAGAACTTTATGCCTTGTAGCCTAGTGTATTTTGCTTTCTTATTCAAGTTAAACTCACATAATCTTGAATTGCAGTATGGATTATTTCCAGTCAGTTACTTAAAATAAGAAACTTTTTCCTTGGAATGGAAAATATCTTAGCCAATTATTTAAAAATTAATTTTTCTTTTATGATCTCATCCCATTTGCTTGAAGCAATTACCTTTTGGCTTGAGCATTGCAATTTATCTCATGAAAAAATTTACAAACCTATTAGTTTTACAATTCATTCCATCAGGTAAAAAAAAAAAAAAAAAAAAAAAAAAAATATAAAAAGAAATGCACTCAGCCACACGTGGGAAAACTATTTTTCTTATATATATATATATATATATAAAAATCAATTTTAAGGGGAATTAAAAAAGCATGGCAAAGCGAAAAAAGTTTAGAATCTCATCAGACTAAATGTTTACATCGATGTGACTATGCACACACATTTGTGTGCGTGTAATTTCAGTCATCTTTTTGCACATGGGATCAGCTGTTTGATTATATAAAACTGACATTTTCATCAACTTTGTACAAAAGTCAATACTCATGCCAAATACATAACAAAAATTAGAAACTAAGTGTTTGCATACCTGTATGTATTTGGCAAAGATATAATAATAAAAATAAAGAAAAAAAAATTTTACATGGTATCCTAATAAACAGCTTTTAGAAAACTTGATGAAATTTATTGTCATGCAATATTAAAAATCTAGATTATTTATCAGACTAAACCAAGTTTAGTAAATATCCATAAATATATACAAAAATGTCCTTCCTGGCATTTAGCCCAAGAGTTTACAAATTCATTCCAATACTACACAAATGCAAAGATAAATGAGCGACAAAAAGAAAATGTAATGAAAAAGGATTTTAATTTGTTTCTGAGTTGCACAATTAGTAACAGTATGTGTATGTGTGTATATATATGTGTGTGTGTGTGTTTGTTACAGCAATCATATGAATGAGCAATGTAACAGCGGACCAAATCTTTACAGAGGACAGAAAATTTGATAAGAGATGGATGTCACTCAGTTTCGTATTGGAAGAATCAACACCATGAGGTCTGCAAGATGATGGTCAGTCAATGAAGAGAGAAAAGAATGTACTAGGCTTCATAATTAGGGTTTTTCCTTAAAATGACAACACCTTCCATAACTGGGGTGAGAGGAATATCTGGGGGTATAATGTTAAGGAAAAATATACAATTATCAAAACAAAATAGTTGGAGAAATACATTCAACAGGCTTATTTATAGAGATCTGGATGAAAATCTTTGGCTTGAAATTGAACTTAAAACCTGATGTAAAGAAATATCTAAATTGTGCTGATAAAACAAGTGAGACTATGAGAAAGAATTCATACAAGACATTTTAAAGTTTGTTTGTTTTATGGCTTAACATTTTGCAGATTATTTAAAGCCAGACAACATATTTAGACCATAATAATTTTTTTTTTTTTTGAGAATGATTTACATGTCCGAATAATGTAAATAATGTAAGTAATCATAACTCATCTCAGAAGATATAGACAGACATAACTTATTAGAAATGAAAGGATACATTCATCTGTCGCTAATTCGGCTCTTTCTCCATAACCCAGCAATACAGGAGTGGTGTGTGTCTGAAAACTGGTTATTGTCTTCGGTTTGCCTACTTGACCAACAACATCAACAGCCTTAAAAAAAATATGAATGACATATTTAAAATACTGTTTTGTCAAAAATCTGATTTTAAATAATTTGCATTTTCCCAATGTTAAAGCCAGCCTATACATTATAGAGATCATTAAATATTTACAATTTGGAAAAAAAAAAAAAAAAAAAAAAAAAAAAAAAAAATTAAAAAAAAATATTGTTTTGTTTTGGGAATTAAATGAAACTTTATACTAAGCTTTACCTGAAAAATCTGAAGTCATAATTGTTAGACAATTTAGACATTTTGTGACTCAAAATAAACAGGCATCTTTTTAACTAAAATCTACTTTGAATGAGTTTAAAGTTCATGACGTTGGTGACAATCATTAAATACCATATTAAAGACTAAAAAAAGAATATACAGTATACAAAAATCCAAGAAATAAGAATCTATCCTACAATATAAAACAACTATATATATATATCAATCATATATAACCTATTGTCCCTGCTTAATAGCGATACAGGTGACAATCATAAGGCATACCTGGTATTTCAAGATTACTAATACTGATGGAAAAGTCATGTTTAATATGATGTAGACAAAAATGCATGAATAATAGGAAACCATCTTTTAAAAGAGCCCGACAAAACCTTACCTGTCCCACTCGAACTGATGCATTTATATTCTGTAGCTTTTCATCAAATGTGACAAGCATTCTTGGTTGCAGAGCTGATACTATATGGTACAATACATAATGAGATTTGCCAAGAATAACTGGAAAAAAAAAATTGCTTTATCAAGATGTGTGGAACATTTTTGTTAATTATTTCAATAATTAAATGTCTTGAATGAAGAGTAAACTTAAAATTTAAGAAAAATTTGTAATTTAAAAAAGTATTCTAAATAAAAACACACACACACACACTGCAAAAAACAAAAAAAAAAAAAAAACAATAATACTGCTAATAAATTATGATAATGGGAGTAGATAACAAAAACATGTCCAAAACAAAAAGCTCAAAGCTGATAGGTTTTCATTGAAAAGCAATTCTTGAATTGACCTAATAGGATTTACATTTGTAAAAAAAAAAAAAAAAAATTTTTTTCCCTTGTTCCCCTGAATTAAGAAATAAATTCATCAACAAATTAAAGATTAAAAGGTAAATGCAAAAATCTGAAACATTAATTTTTTCAAAATAAAAATAAAATGAACATTTAAATAACTACATATGTGTGATGGGTAAATTGTCGCCATTTTATATTTTTAATTTTATGCATGTGCTTTGTCTTTGTCAACTATTTCTCAAATACTGCTGTTGGGCAGCATTTGTGAGAAAAAGAGCACCATGATGCAATTCACTCTGCCAGATATTTGGAAAAGACATGCTGTACTGTTTGGTATTCGCATCAGAAGTTCCAATATGAACATTACAGAGTGTTTGGGTGTCAATCTGAGGACAGTGCAGAGGATAAAAAAGAGTTGGATAATATATCTGTTAACATCATGTGTTTGGAGTGATCACTAGTGATGGTGACATTATGCCACCATTCATCAGTGGCTCAGACTCAACATGGAGGCCTACATCAAGTGTCATAAGGAGGTCAAGAAGGCGGATGCTGGAAGACCCTATGTCTAGCAACAGGGCTCTGCACCATACAAGCAGGAGAACCCAGTCATAGCTGTCAGACAATTTCTGCAACCACATCATCACTTACATCTGGCCATCTATCTCCTCAGACTACAACCTCCTTGATTATTATGTGTGGGATGCAGTTGAGTGAGAGACCAACAAAACTCCTTGTAACACCAAAGATGAATTGAAGGCAAGAATTATGGCAACATTCACCAACTTAAACAAGGAGACCATCCAGAATAGATGCAGGGGATTCTGAAGTTGTCTGGAGACCATGGTGTAAGCCAATGGTGATTTTATTGAATAAATTTATACTTTAGTATTTCAAGATATTTTTGTGTAATCTTGGTAAATATATCAGTTAAAATGAGATGTCAGTGTTATTTTCATTTTTGCATAATTTAGACAACAATTTATCCATCACACCTGTACATAATTAGTTTCTTGTAAAATTTTATAGGTTTTGTAATATTTTCATAATACTGCAGCAGATGACTCGATATTTTATATTATCTATTATAAATACATAAACAATATACATTATGAAGATGATACTTATAAATTAAGTTTCATCAATAAAAAAATAAACCACAACAGAAAGCATAGTACATAATTGAAAAATAAATCAGATAAATTATTAAAAATCTTTCAAGAATCAAACATGAATTCAGTTCAAAAGCTGAGAAAAACAAACTATTCTCTATAAGTATAGAACATTAGCATTCCAACATTGACAACTGCATTTGGATCCAACTATGGTCAATTTGTTAGAAAGGTGACTTTTTGTTAACATTAACATGGGAGACAACCACAGCATATGGTACCATTGGGAAGTGCCTGAAAATCATATTACATTTTCAAAGTTTTGTAATAGAAAGCAGGTACATGAAAAAATTCAAAATCTATTGGTGGTTGTGCTAACACAAAATCACAAGTCATCAAAACCAAGAGTTTGAGCAAGCTGGATTTATTGGACTACTGACCATGCTAGATTGCATGCTCTTCCCCAGAAACAGTAACTAAGAGTATGATCAGGATAAACCACACTTTTACTTTGGAGGTGTTGATGAAAGATAAAAAATGTGCTTGAGCAGGCATTTGCAACAGAGACTACCTACTATCCTAGCAGACTGGCAAATGAGTAGTAAATCATATATACAGGGTGTCCCTGAATTCTGGATACATCAGCAGAAATGCATATTTTCAAGAAATTTTCAACATTTTATTGAAGTGGAATATTAACAAATGACATCTTCAATATGATTTGTGATGCAAAGGCTGATGCACTTTGCAAGATTTCTGTGAACTCAATGCAATAACTACATTGCTGCAAATTTTAGCACATTCCTTCTTTATGCATTCAATCAAGTGTGTTGCATCTGTGATTTTCAGTGAATACAACTCTTTCTGCTTTCAATAAAATCATGTTTAGTCTATGGAAAAAAAAAAAAAAAAACAACAACATAGTTAATGAGATTTCCTATGTGTCCAAACTTTAGAGACACCCTGTATGTGAGTGTGTGTGTATATATATATATATATATATATATATATATATATAAATAAATAAATAAAAGGAATAATCAATTATACTTACTATTTTTGACATCAAGGCAAGAAATAAGAACAGAAAGTAATCCAGCAACAGCCACAGGACTCATAAGTGATCTGTCACTGTGATAAGGGCAGAGGGTAAGGGTTCCTTTGCCTAAGTGAGTCAAGCCCTGGGCAAGGCGAACCATAAATAAGTTGCTGGGGTCTTTTGCATGGTAAATAGCTAATTGACGTAACATGGCAGCCAAACGGGCATTCAGGGTGCCTGAAACAATAAACAGAAAATTAAATTATTACATGTAAATTTAAACAAACAGGTTTTTTTGGCAAATTGTTTTATGCTCCATCAATTGCAAGTTGTTGACAGATGAAACAAGTTAAAATTTTAATAGGAAACTAAGTTGGGTATTTTCTCGTTTAATACTGTACAAAAAAAATTAAGCGAAATATGAAAATAAGCTTCATATATTATGAAAAAGAGCAGATAAATCAAACTAAGTGAAAGGAATAAAAAGAAAACTTACCAGCTCCAACAATTCCCATGGCTAAAATAGCATTATAGCTCACTTCAGAATCACTGTCATGTGAAAATTTGCTAAGTGTATCAAGAATCTGTAGTTTAGGGTTGGAAGCCGATACAAGAGCTAATGCCAGAGGTACTGCCCTTCGAATGACCGGTTCTCCATAGCGCAACTGAAAAACAAAACAATGGAAGAAAAAGTAAAAACTAAAGTTAGGTGGTTGCTAGTTACACTTAATACAAACAATGACACTTCTAAATTAGTGTGCAAAGATGAAAAATCTGGAGGATTAAATGAATTATTAACAAATTAAAAAAAAAAAAGGCAAAAATCAGTAAAGTCCCTCAGAAGTAATCCCTGGGCAGACTGAAAAAACTAAAAACCGAAGTGGAAGCCGCACTGACCAAATTGAACAGAAACAAAACAGCATGGCCAGATGAAATTTTAACAGATGCTGGCAATGACATATTACAGAAATAATAAATGAAATCTACAACAGTGGAAATATATCAGAAGTCATACGCAGATCTATTTTCATAGCACTGTCTAAGAAACCAGGCACAAACAAATGTAAACTTCACTGAACAATCAGCCTAATGAGCCCCATATCAAAACTCATCATCTGAATTCTGATGAATAGAGTGCACAGCAGAAACAGGCCAGAGACAGGACAAGAACAGTGCAGGTTCGTCAAAGACACAAGAACAAGGAATGCAATATTTATGGTCAGAATGTTGTCGGAAAGAGCAATACAAATGCAGGAAGTGTGCCTGTGTTTTATAGACTACACAAAGACATTCGACAATGTACACTACAAAGATCTGTCAGAGCTGCTCAGCAACCTCGACATATTTATTAAAATAATCAAAAAACTTTACTGGCAGCAAACCACCTGCATAAAGATAAAAAAAAATAAGCTCAGCAGATATACAAAAATAGGAAGGGGTGTAAGACAAAGATGTATCTTCTCACCAGACTTATTCAACCTATATGGCAGCCACAATCTTAATATATGACATGCAGTGTTGATAGCAGACACAGAAAAAAAATCTTCTACAGAAGGTAATGAAAGAAAGCTAGAAGAAGGGACTAAGCATAAATTACAAGAAGACAGATTGCATGGTCATCAGCAAAAAGATGAGCCCAAAATGCAAATTACAGGTCGAGGATACTAAAATCAAGCAGGCACAGAAATTTAAATAACTGGGAAGTGTTCTAACAGAGGACCAAAAGGGCAACACTGAGATCTGAAGACGTATTGGGATGGCCAGACACATTCCAAAAACTAAGCAGAGTACTAAGAGACGGGAAAGTTTTCTTGGAAACAAAGAAAAGAGTACTGAACAGTTACATGATATCTGTCTTCCTGTATGGGAGCAAATGTTGGACAATTTCTTCTGAGAAGAGATTTGAAGTAACAGAAATGTGCTTTTACAGAAGGATGCTAAGGTTACTCATTGGCCAGACATGTGAGCAATGACAAAGTTTTAGAGAGAATGGAATCAAAGAGGAAACTTGTGCTTAACATCAGGAAGAGGCAGTTGAAATTTCTGAGGCACGTAATGAGAAAGAAGGGCTTGGAAAATGTAATACTCAAAGGATGGATAGAGGGAAAGAGGGACAGGAGAAAGCAACACAACATACTTAATAGACTTGAGCAGATGGATGCCAGAATAGGTTCTGGGAACACAAAGATAAAAAGAGCTACAAAGGACAGGAAGTTGTGGAGGGCCTTGATCGCCTTCATACTGAAAGGACACAGCGGGGAGAGAAAAATTTTAACTATAATACAATTAAACCTTTGATAGTTTTTACGAACAACATCAAGGGTTAGCTTCATCCATTTTGGGCATTATTTCCAGTACCTTTAATTCTAATCCTCAGATAATGAAGCCACAACTTATTTAAAAAATAAAAATAAATAAAAATAAAAAAACGAGTGTAAAAAGGTAAACTACTATTTTTTCCCCTTTCAAGTACTTTTTTTAAGTCCAAAGGTTGAATGTGAAATAAATTAAAAGCAGTCACAAGGAACAGTTTAAGATAAGAATATTTTAGGCTATTCTTTCAAGTAAAAGTCATTTTTAATCTAAATCCTATTCAATTTTGTGACAAAAAAAAAAAAAAAAAAAAAAAAAAAAACAAAACAAACTATCCTCTGGAAAGGAAAGAAAAATGTAAATAAATTTAATATTTAAAATGAAAAGTTTTATACTTACCAAATGTCCAAATGTTCTAAAAGACATCTCTGCTCCAATATCTTCTCCCATTGAAATAAGAGCAATTCCTATGACAGCAATACCTAAAAAAAAAAAAAAAAGAAAGATTGATGCAAACGAAATTGTTTATAGCAAATTAACTACAACATCCATTTTCACAAACTCAAATTTCACCTTTTTAAAACAACCCACTTTTTCTAAATCTTATTAAATTTAATCACTCTATGGTTAGTACAATCCTGTTTGAATTATATAATGCCCGTTATCTGTCCAATTGAACATAATAAACTTTAATATATTGATAATATTCAAGGCATACAATTTCAAAATAAGGGTGGAAAGATACAGTCTATTCAGCATAAGTTAGAATGAAATTTTGGAGCTCCATAAAAGTGGGACAAATGAGGAAAATGTAACTTATCAAATACATGACAAATACAAAAAAAAAAAAAAAATCATCTCACTTAAGTGGAAAATTTAAAAGGCCTGATACACCAAAACCTAGAGGAATGAAAAGTCATCCCACTTATGTACAGAGTACTGTATTTTGAACAGGACAAAATGATAGGATCTGAAGCAGCCAGGGCCAGTCAACAAATAAATTCATAACCCTCATTCTGAACTGACAAGTAAAATTCATTTTTCAATTAAAATGTCTAAGGATTCATCTTTAGATGAGCTGTTTAGATTTTTCAAGTTTTACATTATTTCATTAGAAAATAAAACTATTTCACACAAAAGATTCACAACTGACACTTGCTGTATTTTTTACATTCATGAAATATGCAAGAAAAACTACCCATTATACAAATAAGACATTTTAAGTTATCTAAAGAAAAAAAATCAAGCAAAAAAGATTCAAAATTTAAAGCAGTTCAGTAACATAAGAGAATTAATAATTAAAGAAAAAAGAAAGGTGGCCAATCAAGACCAACTAAACTGACCTTGTTGGATGGAGAGATCTGGTTTGGCAGCAGTGGCTTCATTCTTTTCATCTTTGTCTTTTTTTTCTTCCTTTTTGTCATCTTTCTTTTTGTTTTTATCATCCTTCTTGTCATTACTTTCCTGAAATAGGCATGAAAAAAAAAAAAAAAAAAAAAAAAAAATTGCTTATATACTAGTAAAAATCTTTCTGGTAAGCTATGAAAAATTTGTCCTTTAACTGATATCAGTAAATGAGAATAGAAGTTCTAAAAACTTCAATAGTAAAGGACAGTTTCATTGAGATTAATTGCTCTTCTTAAAATCTGTTTAATCATACATGGAAATATCATCACGATCAAGCTTTTCTCACTCCAAAGAAGCTCTAACATGATCTGTCATAATTAATATCAGTAACATAGTAGTGAATCCCAGTCCTGGCTTTGAATTCAGAATTTTGGATTCAGTGGGCAGTGATGTAAATAAATTCCTCCCCCACCTCAACATGAAAGAAAAAGAAAAAACACGCCATAAAACCTCATTAAAAAAAAAAAAAAACAAAAAAAAAAACAAGATTTCTTCATTTTAATCAACAGTAGTAAAATAAAGTTTGTTTATGAATCCTGATCGGGAACTTACTTTCAATGAGTATAGTTCTCAGTTATAAACATTTGCCATTTTTTCGTTTCACAAGTAATGAGCCACCAGAAGAGATTTAAAAAAAAAAAATTACATTCAAGTGATACACTGGTTAAATTTGATAAACCTATCATAAAAGTGGAGGTTGTGAACCTGTTATTGCAAATTTTTTTTCAAATAATGAACTGCAAGAGGTGTTCTAATGAGTAGAACATTGGAATTGCTGAATTTACCGGCACATTTGCAAGGTGTGGAAAGAACAGTTAAATTAACTACTAAAGCTTTACAAACTGTATATGAACGAGCGAAGGGCAATTACACAATTACTAAATCATTGTGCCATAAAATAAAAGCATTTACTTTGAAGAGAAATTATACTGAACAATTTAGCTATATTATGATGTGAGGTATGTTATGCAATGCAGTAATTTTAGTGCGATTTTCAATAAACAATGTAAATTTAAAATATTTTGTCTTCTAATTTATTCCCAGCAGGATTATGATGTTATATACACTTTTATCTATTTTTTGTTTTTATTAATTATGACCTAACAAATGGTGTAAGGTCTCATTCATTGATTAACTTTTTTTTTTGCAATTTTTTTACAATTTTTTTTTTTTTTTTTTTTAACAGTTTTCATATTTTCAGTAAAAAAATTGTATATTTTGCTTGTGGTGAGTCATAACTAAAATTCAGGATTTAATATTTTCTGTTCAATGTATATCTAATACAAAAAAATATCAACTTGGATTTATTCTAGAAATAGTAAAATTTTGAAGTCAGTGTGTAAGCAAAGACCTATGGAAATTAAGTATTTCTGAACATTTTTATCAGATGATATTTAAACCTAAATGCACAAAAATTGATAAAAGTTATGAATCTAATTTTTGGCGTCAGTACTTATCACATCAAACACCAGCTTTTGCCCTACTACACATGTGCGAAGGAAAGGGGAGTGTTGAGAATTTTAAATTTAACTTTTTTTTTTGTTTTAATTATGTTTGTGCCCACTTTATCATAGCATCCCCCATCCCCCAAAAAGGTGTATTTTGTAAATTCTGTATATGAGCCTGAGATCTATTTACTTTTTGGTAAGGAACCAAAGTTTGAATGCATTTTCATTTGCAATTTACCCTCAATTCAAAATACTTTTCATACTTAAACTTAGTATAGTACTTGTGTTATCAAAAATAATGATGGCAAAGTACTGTCAGTCAATAAAAGATGTCACAAAGAAATCATAAGAGAAAACTTACTGAAGAAATTCTAACTTACATTGTCTTTTGTATCATCATGCTCTGAACATAAATGCAATAATTGTTGAATCTTGAGTACATTTCCAGTGCCTAGAAGAATACAAAATATATATTTAATATATACATATATGAAAGAAAAAAAAAAAAAGAGAAATCAAACAGTAAACAATTTTCCATACTGTCATTAGGTGTTAAAACATTTCTTTGTGTCTTCCAAATAATAATGTTAATATTGAATTAAAGAAGATAATCTATTTACATTCTCTGATTTGTAAAAGATTGTAATATTATTCCTTTGTATATTCTCAAAGAGAAAAATAAATAAAATAAAATTGACAATCTTCAATGTTTCTTTACTACATTTAACCTAATCTGGTACAGGACTGCATCTAAAATTTTGAAAAACAAAAAAAAAAAAAAAAAAAAAAAAATAAATAAAAAAACAATATAAACAAAAAATAAATAAATAAAATAAATAAATAAAAAAATAAATAAAAATAAAAATAATAAATAAAAAAAAAATAAATAAAAATTAAAACCTAGTAAAACTAGTTTGCTAATCACTGTCTTAAGCAATGTATTCATTTTTTTTCTCCTTTTTAGACTTGACATGTCTGCTAATGGAAAAATATGTGAATGAATTCTATATAATATCAGGAAATAATATTCTGTTCATTTTAATGTAAGTAGTTTTATAAAAGACTACTTATTTCATTAGCAAATAATAGATACATATTAGAAATAAGTGTAAAATATAGTTGCCATTGGCAAATCAAGCTGGTTAATAATGTTCCAAATAGCAAAGCCAGAAATATTATACTATTTACACATGAAAAAGAATGTATATTTTGAAATATCATCAGTTTATCAAGCAAATAATTCATATAATCATATTTTTTTTTAATTTGGTAATATTTCTTTAAAATGATCTAAAGAAATTTCATGAAATTGTGCCCAAAAAGTATTTACAAGATTGAGAAATATTTAGATGTTGAATTTAAAGGAAGATAAAGGATTTGGTAACAAAAAATTATTTTTGATAAACTACATAAGTGTGCTGAATTCAGTTTTAATAGGTGTGTTCATATAGTCACTGAAAACATGTGGAGGAAAAAATAAAGAGAAGTGTATGTGGTATTTAGTTTCTACATAAATCAGAAGCAGCAGGTCAGTCATAATGTTGATTAAAAAAAAAAAAAAAAAAAAAAAAAAAGAAAAAGATAAAAATCTAAGCTTTATCCTTAATTTGCTGTCAGCATTTACTTGAAAGTCTAAGAAAAATGTTTAACTAAAGGCAATTTTCTAAGCACTATTTTTGAGACTGTAGATACCAAAGTGAGTAAATCAATTAATAAATGTATGCTATGTGGCTTCAAAAGAAAACCAATTGATCACCGATTGATATTTATCAGTTATTTATAAGAATTTTCCAACTCAAAAGGTACAAATTGACTGACAATAATTTTGCTATTTAGGATTCTATTATAATCTTAAAAAATTTGAATGCATTTATTATTAGATTTTTATTTATATATGGACTACTCTCCCTATCTTTTTTTTTCTTATCACATTTCAGACATGATAACGAAGATGGGGACAATAGTGCACAAGTAAATAATGATAATTCCTCATCTCAGAAATTCAGACAGAACTTAAATTCTTATTGGATGTTAAATGTTGAGGATAGAATCCTGACTTTACAGACTTTTTGGTTCTCTTGTTTTTAAGATAAAAATATCAGCATTTACATAAAAATATAGTGTCACTATACTGTCTTGGTACAAGAGGTAATTAGAAATTCTAAGGAAGATGAAAATAAAAATTTGATTTTCCTCAACTGAAACAGCTAATTTCAAACATTAAAATGACAATGAGGAGTTTCACATCATTGAATCTGAAGGATTTTCTGTGAAAATGGAACAGAATGGCCTAATTGAAATGGAAATTATGATTTTGAAATGGAATTGTTTTTTCTTCTAACAACTTGACAATTGCCATTTTAATTTGTTACTGTTTTCCTTATCCACTCATCCAACAGACATCAAAGGATAAAGTTGGTAATATTTTAATACATACCCTCCTTACTTACTGTCTCCCTACAGTTTAAGAATCAAGTTTTATGAAGTTGGCTTGATTTAATAAAAAGAAGTTGGGGGAGAAATTCATCTTTTTTTTATTTATTTATTTAAAAATCCTTTCTTTTGGTGATTGAGATGAATTAGACTTTTTTTTTTTCTTTTTTTCAAGATTTTATTTAATAATTTCAATAAAGTGACCAAATGATAATTTGGCTTTTTTTGTCTCTAGATGACTGTGGTGCTACTTTTCTATAGGTTTTGCCAATTTCACTTAGGATTGTTTCATTCTTTGCAAGGATTGTCCCAGAAACTCATCAAGTTAGATGAAGGACAAAAGTATGAGATACAAAACCCTATCAAGCTGGAGCAACTTATCCAATGGCTCAATATTCCAGTTAATAAAATTTTTCATTTTCCTTTTATTTTCTTGTTTTAATAACATTTATATAGTCTTACACTTTCTCACTCAGTATTATAATAAAGCAAAAACAGAAATCTATACTTAAAATGGAATTAAAGAAAATTTGAAACAGAAAATGGGTTCTGCTAATCTATTTAATTACTTCAAATTTGCACATATTCATTGTATCAAATCAAACAGTAATGACATGCTAAAATATCTGGTTGAAGTTTTTCAGAGTTTCTAAATAAGTTTAATGTTCTACAAACTGCAATAACTTGCCTTCCAACCAGATAGATATAAATAATTACTTTATTCAACCTTTTGATGTATATCCAAAATAAGTTTCAATACCTATAAATTAGAACGTTAAAAAAAAAAAAAAAAAAGTTTATAACATGATTCTACCTACTTGCTTATTAATATAATTTATTCAAAGAGATTTTAAAAATGCAATTCTTATAATTTTATTTCTCACTGCTTAGAGATTGAAAACATTAGAGTGAATGAATGCAGTGAAGAGAAAGTAATAAAAAAAAAAAAGCACATACCAGCATAAGCACAAATATCCACTAACATCTGAGTCATAGATTTTAATGGTTCAACAACTGCTTCCAAAGCAGCAAGAGTAGCTTCAACAGCTTCTTGTTTCCCTAGAATTAAGAATAGAAAAAGAGTCATTTATAAGTAATATTACAAAACAATAAAGCAGCCAGATTTTCATCCAGGATTAAAATGTTTTTTTTTTTTAGAGCTTTTTCAAGATACCAAGCCTTATATGTCACCATTACAGAACTCCAATATATAAGAAATACATGAGAAATTGATAGCATGAAAACAAAACAAGTACAAAATATTATGAAATCATTTATTTTTGTAAACAAATGGTAACATAAAATCATTTCAACTTTAAAGTCAGAAGCATCCAAATGTGCCTGTGAGTTTGGCATGCTTACAGCCCAAGAACACCCAAATGTATCCACAATTGGGTAGCACTGTATTTCAATATGCAGCATTAACATCAGTCAGTAAAAACGCTAGAAATCTTTACATTATAGATTTTCAAAACAATATCTCATATCCATAGGTACCAAGGGAGTTAAACAAAAAAACTAGGAAAAAGTAATTAAGTTTCAATTCTCTTAGTAAAAAGAAAATTATTTTAAGATTAAGAACTTTCAGAATGAGAAATGAATTATTCATTGAAAAAGTGGCAAAACTTCAAACAACTAGTCACATGGAATAAGTTTCAATAAGACTGTGACAACTGGAAAGTATTTACTATTTTTAACCATGCAGAAAAAAGCAATTAATGGAAACTCCTTAGACCGTTTTTTAAAAATTCAGTTTTAATCTTAGCAACAACTATCTTTGCTAGAAGGATTAATGTTCACTATGCAATTCCTCTTAAACTTAAAGGCAATTTGATCTTTTATTAAATATTTAATGTGTATTGGTTAGTTGGTTGATTGTTTAGTGACATATCAGCCTCTATGGGTTATTTTATGCCAAAATCTAAATATGTAATTTCATGTTTTCAACTACAGATTTTGTATATAATTTTATACTTTCAGAGTTAAGGCATGTTTAGATATATATTTTGTAGATCATAAAATGTACTATTAGCAATTTTACTATATTTTTTTTGGGGGGGGGGCACTATTTGCCCATAGCTGGGATCCCAACAGGTGCTACCATCCCAGATTATAGTGGACCTGGGAACAGCAATTAAGAGGTGATTCCATGGCTCTCAAAACCTTCAATATCTCGATCAGAGGCCTTGCTGCCAGATGTAGTTTATTATACACAGGACAAAATGTGTAATTACATGGAATGATAAGAATTCAATAAATTTACCTAAATACGTAAGTGCAAGACCTAAAGACAAATATCTGGTGTAAGTATCTTTGAGTTCACTAGCAGGCCATTCCATCATTTTCTGAATAATTGTGGAAGAAACATCTGCATTACAACTTCCAACTGCAATCAAACCACAAGACAAAGCAGCCATACCAATCACCTGAAAACAGATAAAAAATGATTGACATTAATGGAAGGATTTCCTTTAGAAACATAATATATACATGTAGTATCAAAAATATTAAAGATTTCCAATACTTATCAAGGCTCAACTAAAGAATTCCCTAAGTTTCATATCTTAATTAGATGATTTTTTATTTTTTTTTTAAATTTCAGCATTGTTTCTTATAAACATATTTTGTGGGTATACGAACAAATGTACCCATTAAATGTTTATTAATATATATATATATATATATATATATATATATATATATATATATATATATATATATACCCAAGTATATAATTGGTATAAACGGAATGAATTCCAATAACCAACAATTACTATTCTTAAAAGAGTGCTCAATACAAAGTAGAGCAGATATATATATATATATATTTTTTTTTTAATTATATATATATATATATATATATATAAAATGTATAACAGCATTTTATAAAAACATAAATCAATGTAATACAAAAATTAGATATATTCCTGTAAGTTTTATTATACGACAGGTATAAGGTAATAGAAATTAAAATAGGGAAAAAAAAAAAAAAAAAAAAAAGGAATGATTTGGTATGTTTAAAGCTGTTAGCATGCATAATTAAACATACAAAGAAAAAAAATAAAATAAAAATTGAGTAAAAACTGAACAATACTATAAAACCGATTGATAATGATTTTTGTGCTATGGGTTTTAAATAGTGAATTTTTAATGTAAGGATAAACAAATGATTCAATACCAAATAAGCCAAGCAATTATGTTAATCACTCAACTATGTAGCTTAACCATAAAAAGAAAAAGTTATTAGTCATTACTTCATTGGTTGTTTTTGTGTCTCCAAGAACAGGAAGAAGAAGATTGATTACATCCTCTCTGTTGGAACCAGCATAAGCCAAACCTAACCTGAAATAAAAAGAATAAAATAAATTAAATCTGACAATATTAAATATTTTTTATTAAACATTATTTTTGGTGGATTTCTAAAGTAATAAAAATATTGGATTAATAAATAAAAATCCATTACTTCTGTAAATATTAAACATAAAAATTAAATGATTGCAATTTATTGTTTTTACAAGTTACTCACAAATTTATGCTAATTTTGAATTGTTTTGCTAAACTATAAATATATAGACATGTTAACAATTAGTTTTTATATAACAAATTATGGATATGAAAACATGTCAAAATGTAAAGTTCATTCCAATCCTCTCAAAAATTCTAATGTTAAAAATATTGGTACACTGATATTTAGCATTAGAATGGTCATCAGCCATTAAGTAACAAATTGTGTTTAGACTGGAAACATGAAAACTCTAAAGCAACTGATTTTAATACTTCCAGCTGTTTTAACATTAATCCCCAAAAATATGTATTCAAGAACTGAAAGTTTATAGATCAAAGAAACTATGTTCATGTTAATGAAAGTATAAATGTAAATGTACCCAACTATGGAACCAATGCGCATAATTGGTTTTTGATCTCTAACATAATCAGCTAATAAAGCCTTGGCTGGGTCACATTCATTGCGGACGCCAGAATTGACAATACCACAAGCCAGAAGAGCTCCAGCCTATTTAAAAAAACAAAAACAAACAAAACAAAAAAAAATAGTTATTTCAGAATGCCTCAAAAACAATTAAAAAATGACAAAAGAAATAAAAGAAAAATATCATTCATTTTTGTTTAAAAGTGATTTTAAAATGTTTTTTGTTCATTGCTAAAAGGTAGTAATAATTTAAAAAGAAATTAAGTAAATTAAATTTTATATTTTAGAAGAAAGACAAAACCTATTGGCTGTCAAATAAAATACCTTAATATTATCTTCATGTGAGTAGAGATATTTATCAATTTGGCTAAGGCCACCATCCAAATCCCACAGCAGAATCAGACCAAGAGAAGCAGTAGCACTTAACATTCCTAAAAGAAATAAAATTCAAATAAAAATAATACCCTTAAATGTTTCATGTAAAAAAAAAAAAAAACAAAAAAAAAAAAAAAAAACTAAAGTAAAATAAAGAAAAAAAGCCAAAAATATTTAAAAAAAAATAACTTATTGTACATTTTAATTCATTATTTAATAAAATCATGCAAAATACTGTTGTACAGAAAATTATAATTGTAGGACTCAGTAAATCTTGGTAAAAAAATCTTGTGGGCAAATATTCAAATAAAAATATTAATCAGTTAAATAAAAGAAATTGTTACCATGATCTTTATTCTTGTGAAGCCAGTCTTTACTTTCCATAATCAGTTTATCTTTACCAAAGGCAGCATTAACAAATCCATTCACAAATGAAGCCGCTAAATTTTGTCTCGCAGAATCCACATTACCAGATCCAATTGTAGTTCCTGCAAAACCACATTTTATTACCATAAATAAGCGATGAAAGTAATGAATTTCCAAATAAGTATCAATTTAAGGAATAAAGATTTTTCATCAGTTTATTTCCAAGAATGTTAGCATTGATAAGTCAAACATTCCTAATGTATAGCATTGTACAAAAATAATAGAAATTACTTAAGAGCAAGGGATCTGTAATGAATCTTAGTTATATGAGGTTTGAATAAATCAAGGAAAACCTAATATCATTAATCTCTTTACAGATATTTTTTAGACGAAGAAAGAGATTGTCAAAGAAACACTTACTGTTTGGTTCCAAGCTCGTTTTGTAGATATCTTCAGGTACTTTAGGTTTCAAAATGTCTAACTGTAATGGAGGAAAAAAAAATTACTTTATAAGACATCCAATGACCAGAAAGTTAATATTTTTTTCTCATTTGAATGACTTCATAGTTGATGTGGGTTTTGTTGCAGTTGTTTTCATTCCAAAATGACTTAAATGAAACTTTGGAAGAAAGAAATAAGAGAATTGAAAATTATTAAGAGAAAATTTAAGGCAATTAACTCGGGTAAAAATTTATTAACCCACTTTTATTGTACTTATTACAAAAAAACAAAAAAAAAAAGATAAAGATAGTGCTACCTACTTCTCTGCCAAGAACTAAGAAATTGGTATTAAGATGTGTATTGGACATAATATCTTTGAGTTCATCTAACTCTGGTGTATTTTCATCAAGTTCCATATATGTTTGCTGACGACCCAACATGTAAGCCAATTGTTTTTGCATTAACCTAGGGATAAAGAAATAAAAATTATGCACTTTTAAATAGGAAAATATAAGCAACATTAAAAATATCTTCAAGCATTGTTTCATATTTGCTCAGAGAGATTTTTGAACAAGTGATACCAAAATATTTAGAAAGAGATTTTGCAACAATTTGTTACATCCAGATTAAAACATATCCCACTGGAAATTCTTTATCCAACTAATTTAGATTCATTGGGATATGCACCAAAGAAAATAAAATTCTTATAAATTATCATTTTAATTCCATTTTAGTATTTTTACACTGGGGACAAAGCATTCTGAAATTATTGTGCAAAGTATGAGGGCTGGTTATGAAGGAATGATGATAGTTATTAATAAGAAGAGTTGAAATTAATGCACACAAGATTTCACAGTTCTAGCAACATTTTTTTAGGTAGTCTATGAAATTTTTCAGCCTATCCATGTAGGTTTCATGTCCGGCATATTCCAAGTAATTATTTCAAAAATGTACAAAGAGTATATAAAAATATATTCATTTAAGTACAAACAAAAATGTAGTAGATCTTAGATCATGATGCTGCCCTATAAGCCAAGAAATGATAAAAAAGAAATTACTTACAAATCATCACATTCATAGAAGATTTCCTTCATTAATTCTATATCATTGAGCTGCATAGCGAAGCGCATTGCATGTGGGTGTTGCTTGAATTTGCGATATAGATGTACAGCTTTGCGAACAAGGGTGGTGTTCTCAGGGTCAGGTACATAGGGAACACAACTGAAAGAGTTTTGATTTTACATGAAAAGCATCATCATATAAAAAATGGACAGTAATTAAATAGCATACTAAAATTAAGATGTATTTCATACTTGTGTCAAATAAATTTGATCCTTATTACTGTAAGACTGAGGTCAGTGAAAAGGGAATTTATGAAGTTGAAGTAAAAATAAGCAATTTTATTAATTAAGAACTATAAAGAAAGGAAAGCTAAGTTTAATGACAGTGAAGGAGAAAAAAAACAAACAAAAAACAAAAAAAAAAAAAAAAAAACAAACAATTTAGGTATATTCAATAAAAGAAGGAAGCCCTCAAACTTGATTAAACAATTTATCGTCTGAATGCTTGTGTTATTATTAAGGGGAAGTATTTTTTGAATATTTTTTTTTTTTTTTTTTTTTTTATTTCTTTCTAGCACACCCAAAATTTTAGTTAAAATTTTTTTTTTTTTGAGTCATCAAAATTTACATAAAAATTAATCATGTCAGCTATTTTTGACAATTTTTTTTTTAAACAAAATGAAATTCTCCGTTGAAAAAAATCTAAAATTCAATTATACTTTTTACAAAAATTATTTTAGGAAAATTAGAAAATTTAAAGTAATTTAATGTAATTTGAAACAATTTTTTAGCAGAAAAAAATTAGTTGGAAATAAGAGAAGCATGTCTAACTATTGGTTTTGGAGATGTGAATTGATGTTCACATCAATTTATCAACAACTTATGTCAGGGCAATTTATCAGATGGAAGGGCAGAAGTGACAGTATTTTTTAATTTTAATTGAACCAGTTTATTTAACTACATAGTAATTCTTAAAAATTAAATACTTCCAAAAGTCTAATATTTTATTGATTTTTTTTTTCTTCTTTTAGGTACTTTAACAAAGATATGTCCAAAACCGGCACTGTTTCCATCTCTAAAAATGAATGTAAAAAAGAAAAAAAATATTTGCAATACATCTCTCACTGAAAGAGATAATTGATTATATTAAAAAAAAAAAAAAAAAAAAAAAAGAAGAAGAATGATGGTCAGTCAGTCAGAGAATTTGATATGAAATCAACAATACAATTTATGAGGCTCGATCCTCACTATCAGGAGAAACAACTTGTAAAATAATAAAAAAAAAAAAAAAGGTACATTAATTCTGAATTGTGCATCTGTAGTTTTGCCAGAAACGTTTTTAATACAATAATCTTTTTAATATGCCAAAAAAGTGTAAGAATAGATCTTTTAATAAGAGCATTTCCAGAGATGCACATAGTCAAACTTAATTTTAAAATATTTAACAACTTTGACATTTTGTATTTAAAATTGAAAAAATAAATTAAAAAAAAAAATTTTTCTTGTAAAAATTCATTTTTCATTGAAAAAATATTTGTTTCAGACAAAAATATCCTTATTTACATTATTCATAAAAGCCCATAAAAGCTTTTTTTAATTAAATAATGTCTTAGTTTTATTGGGTTTTGTATTTTACAATTCAGAGATAAAGTTTGGGTAGAAATGCTCCTTGATTTAAAAAAAAAAAAAAAAAAAAAAAATTATATTCTTGAAAGTCTTCTGCATTTAATTAAAAAATTACAGATGTGTGTGTATTCAAGTTTTCATAAAATTAAGGAAGGTGTAACAAATGTAAAAAAAAAAAAAAAAATTGACCATGACTTTCTGAAAGACAACCAATTCTAAAATAATTTCATTCATTTTTGAATAAGTTCTGAAAGTTTCATTAAAAATCCAACAATTATTTGATTTTTGCAAGAATTTCCAAATTAATGCATTTTTCAAGTGAAAAAAACTGCTAAAAGAAACTAAAATGCTAAATATTGTGACTGCTGACACGAAAAAAATTTCAAACATCCTAGAAAGGAATAAAAAAGTTTTTAAAATAATTAAATTCTTTAGTCTTTCCTCTTATTAATAAACTTTTTCACGATAAAAGTTTTGTTTTTATTAAGTTTGGGACCTTTTTTCATCACGCTATGCTGTTTTTTTTTGGTGAATTATTGAATATACCTAGTAAAATTTAATAGATGAAAACTAATAATATTAGTGTATATAAAATGAAAACAGTTGAAATTGATAATTCTCTGTATGAAATTATAGATGAAGACCTAAGGTTACAAGCTCAATTGTTCTATAAAGTTTTTGTAAGAGGAAATGAATATTACTAATTGCCTCTTCAGAAATGAAGGTAATATTAGACATTTTTTTGTTTATCTATCATATGTTGACATTATGAAAAGTAAAAGCTTGGGCAATAGGAGAAGAGAGAATCAAGAGAACAGACTAATGATAAAATCTTTAAAACAGTAACTATTCAATAGAAGGAGTAATTAAAATCAATTAATACTTGGAAAACAAAAGAGAAAATTAACCAAACACTAGACACTACTGGATGCTTTCGGGGGGGGGGGGGGAGACAAAAAGAAACATCTTAATATAAAAGCCCAAAATTTGTAACGTTAATTTTACATTGTTTACATTCAGACCAATGTCCTCATCTTTTTTTTGTTATTATGTCAACATTTCAGCCATTGTATCATGCTGGTAACCTTCAGGTAATTTCAAACCAAACCCTTTATTTAATAAACAAGGGTAGACTGTTCATGTCCTACTATCTATATCTAGGAATATCTTGTAAATTAAATAAACACTGGTTTGAAATTCCCTGAAGGTTACCCAAAACGACAGATGTTTGAAGAAGGCCAGAAACAAAGTTTTCAATGCTTTAAAATTATTTATATTATGTGGATACTTCAAAAATGATGTTATTAAAAAATAATGATTTTATAACTGAAAAATCTAAAGTCAAAACAAAATCCATTGGACAGGATATTTTTTTTTTTTTTAAAGTAAATGGAATTTTATAATGTTAACAAAAACACAAGGACATTAATCTGAATGTAAATAATGCCTCAATTCAGACAGAAAATGAATTTTATTGTAATCTGTTTCGTAAGATGTAAGATTAGAGAAAATCATGATATAAAAATCATTTGTATCCAATGTACAGATATTGGGGATCTGTATACACATCAAGTAGGTATTCCAAACTGGCCAAGTTTATGGTGCAAAAATGTGTCAAAAGTGAAATTTTCTTCAAGTTCAACTGGTAATATCGAGTATTTTAAATTATTTTGACAAAATTAGTATGTAAAAATAATGTTCTTTCTTTATAATTTAATTCTTTCTGTTGTGTGATAATTAGTTTTCGTTCTCTTTATACGAGGCCAAGTTTCAGTGACGGGTGCTTCTTTTTCCGCATTTTAAAATCATCTTTATGTTCTGAAACTTGTGCTCTGAGTTGTGTATCCTAGATATATCAAAATAGTCCCATCAATTTGGTGGGATTAATGTAATATATATATATATATATATATATATATATATATATATAGAGAGAGAGAGAGAGAGAAAAACGAACGAAAATTCACACCTTCTTATAGAGCAAGGTTTCCTCATTAATAATCAATTGGTTTCATATTAGTACTTCCAATCAATTTGCATAGGCAAATATAAAAGGTGTTTTTGAAATTTGGATTCACCAGCAACCTTGCCCAATATCCGATCTAAAAGCTCTGGAGCTTAAAAAAAAAACAAAAAAAAAAACACATATTTGTTTCATAGATGGACTCAGTTTCTAGCCGAGTCCAAATATTTTTCTTATATTTCCTATGTTTATTCTAAAGTTGTATAAAGCAAATTATTTATTGTGAAAGTAAATAGCCATTAAAAAATAAACTAGAAATACAGATTTTAATTAAATTTCACACACTTACTGAAGAAAAAAAAAGGGGCACATGTAAAATAAAGTAATTTTTAAAATGTACATATATAAATCTTGCATATGTGGGGGGGGAATCTGGATCTCAGACACAGTGGATAAAAGCGTTGGTTAGGTCAAGTGACAGGACCCAATGAGTTGAGAGTTCAATACCTGGTTAAGGCAGTAGAGAACTTGGAGAGGTGGATTAACAGGAGATAACCGATAAATGACATCCATTATACATGGCATGTGGAACTAGAAGTCTACCCCAACAAGTGAAATAAAGGGTTCAGTTTAACATTCCAACCACCTGAAGAAGGCTGGAGTGTACAACAGCCAAAGCATTGTGATAAATATGGCAACAAAGATGAGGATTATTATTATTATGTACATTCCCTAAAACAATTTCTCAAATCAGTACAGAGATGGGTAGAGAGAGTATAATTTCAATTCAAATCTAATATTACAACTCATCAGTTGCAAAAAATTAAAGAAAAAGACTTGTTTGCAAGGTAAATGCCAGACTTGAATCATTACTTTAGTGAAACAAAAAATATGGTTCTACCTGATGAGATAAAGACAAACTCTCTGGTAGACGTTTTCATCAACATGCTGTTCAAGAAGGTCAAGTTGTTCAATTTCCATGAGAAGATCACAGGCCTCAGCTTCAGCATTGTGTTCCATATGATAAGGTACAATCTCTTTGGCTAATCCAATCAAATTTTCTCTCATTTCAGCATCTTTTTCTGTTGTATCATGCCATTCTTGAATGACTTCTCCAGCAAGGTGTCTGAAAGAAATTCAAATGATAATGTTGAATGTATTGTAAAATCAAATTAGAGCATGATTATTTTTTTTAATAGTCAAACCATCCACTGTGCAATCTTCAAAAAAGGATTTCACTAACATGAAACAAATTTTTAACTACACAGAGAAAAAAAAATGTTAGATAAAAATAAGTGCAGTAATTCGATTGTAAAGTTACGATTTATTAAATGTGATATGGCAAAATACAATTCACATAAAAAAAAAAAAATATAATAATCTCCAATTAGTGAAGGTTCAAGGGAGGTAACTTAGTATTTTAAATTATGAAGTTATCTCTCCTGATGAATTTGGTGCATCACAAGTAGTAGTAGTATTTAGAGGATTTGAAGAGCATATATATAATTTTTTTAATTATTTCCCCACAAGCAAAAAAATAAGGATACTAAGACGCAAAGATTTAGAGTGCGAGAGAATGAGAAAAAAACAGAACGAAAACACTATTAAGGAGGGAGAGAGAGAGAGCAATAAAAGAACAGGAGTTAAGACAGATTGACATAGTATTTAAATTTTTTTATGATCAAAGTTGACTGGAAAGCAAGTTGCCAGAAGAGCATTCCACAAGCAAAAAGTGAGAGAAAAAACTGTTAGTGCAAAACTTACGGTTACATTTAGCCATTTCAACTATAAAATTATGAGACCTAGCCACCAATTTAGTACTGTGCTTTAAATTCATAGACTCTAGGTACCATAGAGGAAAGTTCATCAGAACAATTACCATGAAAGTATTTATAGAAAAGGCTAAGGAAAGCTTCGTTATAGCAATGGGAAAGTGACTGTAGCTAAGATGGCAGTTTAGAAAAGAGATTAAATATGTCTCAAATGCAAAAGAGTGATACTAAACTTGAGCCTTGTAATTGTAACTGAACTACCAAAGGTCTGACTAAATGTACTGCTCAAGTTTATACAGTTGAGTGAATTGACAAATCAATTCTACTTTGTTTGATTTTTTTTTTAGCGAAAGTTTCAAGCTGTGTCCTTATATTCTATCATCTGGACATTATGTCATCTTAAATCAAAAATATTTCCCATTTTTAATTTTTTGACCAAAACTATCTTGATCTTTGATATCTTATTCATCTATTTCTGCTCTCAATGTGTGAATGAGATTAAAACAAAAACATGTTAAAATCACTATACAATGGTTCTCAAAACAAAATTAAAATGAAGTTTGTGGGTTTACCCCAATTAACCAGTTAGGTGCCAGACCTATGCTAAAAAAAGGGGGAAATTTCGATCATGGTAAGATGTGGTTTGAAATACAATCCTAGACAAGGTCGTGTGCGGCAGACAAAATTAATACAAATTATCAGTGGGTGGGGCAAGCATGTCTCATAATACGAAAATGTAACTTGTTCAATTTTATAAACTAAGGTTGGAGTAGAAGACAATCAAACGTATAGCTCATTTTAACACACACACATTTTTTATAGTTGATAATAAAAAGCCTTCTTTAAAAATTCTCAGTAAATCCAACTTAAGTTTAAAAATAAAAAATGTGTAATATTCATACATGATGTTGATAATGCTAACAGTAATACATAGCTATATTAAATTCAAATAAACAAAATAAAATAATCATTCATAAGTGCACTACATTTTACTTACTAATTATGACCATCCTACCAAATTTAAACTTTAACCATAATGTAAGGTGAAAGGTTATCTGTGCTTACAATTTACAGTTAATTCACTTTAGTTTAATAGAATTTTTATCAGCAAATATAATAATTTTTAATTTCTTGTGTAAGCATAAGAAGCAAGGTTCATTTAAGGATTTACAATTTATCTTTTTAAAACTGCATTTAACTGTAGGAGTTTTATTAACCTCTTTTAAATTAAAAAAATATTTGGAAAGAGATGTCCTATTTTCATAAGTGCTATTGGTGAAAGATAGGATATGTTAGTAGTTTTAAAAGAATTCTTAGTACTTCCTATATAAAATTTTTCAGCAGTTGGATTTTCTATTGTAGAAATAGTACTTAGGTAAACAAGAGAGTTGGCCAGACAATTTTTTTGCAGTAGGGAATCATTAGAATTTCTGTGATTACATTTGTTAATATTATTGACATTAGTTTTGGAATTAATATTATTACTCAGGTTTTCATATCTGTTTAAAATTTTATCATTTTTTTTTTAAAGAATTTTTTTTCTAGGTTATCGGTGCAGCTATAGCGTAGTTTTAGTGGGTTTCTGTTGAATATTTTACTGATGGGGTTATTTTGGGGGAAATGCTTATCAAATAAATGGAGGAACTTCTGCCCTAATTTAATACTAACTATTTGGTTAAATGATTTTTCTGTTCCTATATAATATATATATTTTATATATATATATATATATATATATATAAGAGAGAGATAGAGGAGGCACAGTGAGGTAATGGATAGTGGCTCAGATTGAGGGATCGGAGAGCAGAGTTTGAATTCCTGTCGAATCCATTACATTCACTTACGTGCTAATACCCATGGGAAAAGTATGAATCCTCTTCTCCTTCCAGCTATAGGTAAATAGCAAGACAGACTGGGTTCTATAGACTTGTATGGCAACTGGTCTAGGAGAAGGACAACTCTGAATTCAAAACCTGTGGAGGATCGTTTGGGGACCTTGTGGCACATAGTGCACCAGGTCTCTGTATTTGTCCCTTCAAAAAGTGTGGATGGTTCTGCACAAAACCTTCATCACTATAATCAAATCTCATGTACTGGTGTCAGACTGTTGGTTGCTAGGAACTGATCTGCTTGATAGGAGTGTTGAATATAAAAAGAATTAATGGATTTTATCTTTTAATTTGATATTTTTATTACTCCAAACGCTTTTAATGGATACCCATACGTTTTTTTTTGGGGGGAAGGGTAATTTTATTTATCTTGCCTACTGGTTTCTAAGTTTTCTCAGGTGTGCAGCTTGAGAAAACCTAATAAAGAAAATGTGCACTTCAGTAGAATTTGAACCAGAGTCCCCCATTTGAAAAAGAAACAACTGACTAATCCAGAATACTTTCAGCACATTTACAAAGGGTGATGCAAGTTTGAACCCTGTTGGAGGGCACAATTTATTAATTTTCAACAAGTGTGAAAATTTGTAGATAAAACAAATATATATATATATATATATATATATAAAAAAGGGGGGCACTATTCAATTATGGGAGTCAACTAATAACGCTTGAAGTAATAAAAATATGTTGCATCAAAAAATGAAATCTATTAATTCTCAAAAAATTGGTTTGTTTATGTTTCCAATATAAAAACGAGCAGATATGGCTTCTGAGAAAATCTGAATGTTTAAGTGTGCTTTAAGACAAATTGAACTTTGCTTGACTGAAGTGCTGTAGCCAAGCGGTCAAAGCAGTGGTTTCTTCACCTGCAGAGGGGAAAAGAGGTTTAAATCTTGCCAGAGAGCATATTTTCTTTAATTAGTTTTTGTGTGTACAGACCAGTAAACAAAAACACTGTAAAAAAAAAAAAAAAAAAAAAACAACAACATTTGAAGTGTAGGTATACATAGATATTTTTTCTTTACCATTTCAATGTTATTAGTTAAGACTTGCATATACCAGTAATTAAATAAACATATAAAAGTATGTAGAAATTCCTTTTTCATCTCTCACCTTACATATTCATGTCCCCAGGAGCCAATTTCTTCATTAGAACCAACCATTCGGAATTTCAAGCTGTCCCTCTCTTCACTCATAGTCATTCCCAAAACAGAAATGATATCTGCACATGAGCGCTGAAATTGGAAAACAAATTGAAGCAAATAAATTAAATATTGCAGGGGTTAAAATTCATTGAAAAATATATTACATATTAAGTAATAGAAATGAATTCTCCAAAAAAAATCTTTCATTTAAATATTACTTAATTTGTCATGCTTTATTTATGGCATCATTATTTCAGAGTATGAATTTAATATTTTGATATCAAACACTCTTACAGTCAAAAGTTTCATGAGTTAGTAACAGAAATAAAGACAATTTACAGGTCAATATTTGAATCAAAGTGTGTGTATATATATATATATATATATATATATATATATATATAAATAAAAAGAGAGAAAAATATAAATTTGTGTAATTACCTTAACTTCTATATCTGTAATCTTTTCATAAACTTTCTTCAGCGTACCATAGTGAGGACGCAAAAACTTGAGAGGTTTAGGAACTGAAGTCATTGAAGTGGTTGAAGCACGGATCTCAGTGCGGAGACATTCAAGAGCTTGTTTATACAACTTTTGATCAGACTCCTGAAAAATTACAAAATAAGGTAAGATATTTTTCTTTCCAGTATATTTTTACTATTAGGTTAAATAGATAATCTACTTAAATTCTTGAAATGTTAGTTTTTATTAGAGCTCGTCACAGAATTTCAATGAGAATTTAAAAGAGAAAGTTTCGATTCTGACATTTTTTAATTGCATATAATTATAATGCAGAGCACAAAATTATAATAGAAACTACATTTTATAAAAGTGACAGACATTTGACATTGCTATTCAACTTACATTTTGTTGACTGGTTGATTGATTTTGTTTTAAAGCTTAACCCCTCATGGGTCATTTAAAAGCCAAGACATTAGATTTCATAAATTTATTTTTTTATTTTTTCCTCAATCATATGGTATCAACTATTTATTTACTGATTTCTTTTTTTTTTTTTTTGCAATCTTATGGTTTCAGCTATTTTTTTTTCACAATCATATGGTATCAACTACTTTGGCTGGTTTAGATAAGTTTTTGTTTTTATAGGTTTATATTTTTTATATAAACCCACTCTTGAGAAATGATATATTGTCCATCCTTACCAGGAATGGTGATAATTTAGTTAGCGGGACCTCCTCTCTAGATTCCAGTATTATGAATGGAGGAAAGAGTACCTCAGCCTGCTCTTGATCAGACTGACTCCATGTGTAGTCTTTTAGCATCCATATAATGAAATTATCTTTCACTGACTGTGCTCCCCACCCAGCATGGAGTCCTACCAAGGGGGAAGCCCATTCACCTTGGCAGATCAGGAGACCATAATGAGGCAATAATTGTTTTTTTCCTCAGGCATAGTTTGAAACCATTGTCCCTTCTTAGCACAACTGACCCTACAGCCACCACCTTCTGATACAGCTTTTTCCAGAATTTGTAAGAATCTGAATCAGGGCTTGGTGTGACCAGCTGGTTGATTGGATCGGGCCTCTCCAACCAGGTAATGGCCAAAGTGATGCATTGGAAATCATCTCTCACCCTGAAGCCCTCAATCACCAGGATCCCACCTCAGGCATTGTGGGTTGCCACTCATAGCCAACAGATAACCTCATTGGGGAGGAGGGGGTTACCCTTCTGCAGAGATGCAGTTAATGTATGCTGAAGCCCCATCCAACAGGGCAGAATACTGTTGACAGCAACTAGAAACAAAAATTGCTTTTTAAGGTCACTGTTGGATTTTATAAAGAAAATATTCAAATTATCTTCTCCCAAATAAATGTATTTTTAAATATTAAGATTACCTGTTATGAATCATGATAGCTGAAAAATCTCATATGTCTAACATGTTCACTGCTAAATGTGTGGAGGAAAAAAACAAAAAAACATTTGCTTTGTGTCACAAAGCAGAAACTATGTCTTGTATATTGCCATAAATGAGATCATGGGATATATCATGTAAACATTAGAACAATACTAAAAAAAAAATTATAATTCATGTAACAAATAATTTTAGTAATAAATATCAAAAGGGTGATATAGCTTGACTCTGTAATAGATTTGTAGGGGTATTAATGGCTATAAAAGTAGAAAATCATTTGTAGGAATATCAATAGAAAAAAAGTAATTCTAGGAAGAAATATTTCAAATATAATTAATAATATCACGATATACATTTAACTCTTACAAAAAAAAAAAAAAAACACAAAAAAATCCATGTAGAATTCACAGAAAAAGAATGAAAATGCTTACACAGAGTCTCTCAACCATCAAGTTCAGATTTTCTTGAAGTAGTTTATCCTCCTCCGACTGGAACAAATAAAATATAAATGACAAGCTATTATAGACATTCAACAATTTAAAAGAAAAATTATTTAAATTTTTTATCTTTCTAGATAGCTTTATATTCTTCAATCCTTTTCAAGTGGCATATAAAAGCCCATATTTCCTTTCATTGGGAATATTTAACCATAGTAGCATAATATTTGATACACAATCCTTACTAATAATCTATTCTAACTGAAGTAACACAGAGCATGGCTTACCTAGTACAAAGTGTGTTCAAGTTGCCGCAAATGTAGCATGAAATCCAGTTAAAAGCCTATGGGTACACATGCGCAATGACTGTCATTTTAGATAATGGACATCACACCCAGGCTAAGGCTTATCTGCAAGTGCATGTCTACAAGTCATTACCATTCCAGACTGTACTTCTGAGGGTGCTTAGCTACTCCCTTATGTGTCTATGTTACAGGCTGAATGTAGCATCCCTTATAATGCAGTCAATAATTGATGTGGTATTGGCTCAGGATGAGTCAATTAAACATGCCATACATCAACAATATTTGTTTTGATGAAACAAATCTGGAAGCACTTTACCAATTTCAGACTAATCATGCAAAGACCTCATAGGTTGAAGGATAGGGCCAAAGGATTGGGCTTGTATGTCTGGAGGGAGGATGGTGTGGAAGTGGAGATGAGGGAGTGAGATCCCACCAGCTCTGCCTACTATTACTTGTTGAAGCACGTTTTCTGTATGCAGGAAGCTCACTTTCCAGCAACTCAGACCAGCCACTGCGTTTCTGAAGTGACAGCTAAACGTGACGACCAAAGGTTGGAATGACAAGACCTGCAACGCACCACTAAAACACATACTCACCAAAACAGTTACTAGAGTACGTCAGGAGGACTGTGACCGGGAATTGGTGCATGCATGGTCAGCAAAATAAAGGTGTGGGTTGGTGCAAGTTCCCTGCCTACCGGAGTAGTGTTGGAAGTCGATGGGGACATTGTTGAAGATACATGATGGCTGTGGCCAGACAGAAAGCAGCATATAAATCTTGCTGAGCTGGACATGGTGTTAGGAGGCATTAACCTAGCACTCCAATGGAAAACAATGGTGCTGTACCTGCTAACCGATTCAGCATGTGTACACCAGTGGATCTCTGACACACTGACCAAGAGGGCGAAAGTGCACACCAAAGTGGCCAGAGATGTTAATAAGAGGCTAGCTCAGCACTCTGGAGGGGTTTGCCAAAGAATATAGCCTAACCATTGACGTGGCCTTGGTCAAGTATAGTGCAAACCAGGCTGATCATCTCACCAGAGTGCTGGAGTGATGGCTCAATGCAATAAAGAAGGAAGCAGAGCCTACACAGCTGGTGTGCACCACAGCCATTGTTGATTCTGCCCAGATAATGAGTATCCATCAGCAAAGTAAATGTCCTGGCACAAAGTGCACCCTGTATTTTGTGAGGTGGGTCAATCCTGCAATATCCAGGGCTGCAGTTAAGGAAGTGGCAGGAAACGTGAAGTGTGTCAGTCCACAGACCCAGCTCTGGTAGAGTAGAAAATTTGGTGGCTAGATGTAACAGACAGTTGGTGCCAAGTAAGAATGGATATAAGCTACCTTGGCAGCAGACACTACCTGATGTGGATTGATTGTGGTCCTACTTGGATCGCCATCTGGCACCCATTGTTTTGTCAGGACTGTCAGCATCATCCGGCAGCTGGAGTATATATTCTTCAAACGAGGACCATCAATTGAGCTGTTTTCCAAAAAAGATGTGACATTCTGCAGGTGAGCATTCAGAAAATTCGCCAAAGGCTGGGTGTGTCTATTTGTGCTTTTGATGTGCTCACTTCTTGGCAAGGAATGACATAGTAGATGGTGTGCTTGACACCTTTCAGGTGCATTGCCACCAGAAAGCAGTGTTCTGTGGAGGAAGCAGTGCATCATTACAATATAATGCCGAAGGATGATACATCAGCCTCCACAGCCTCAGCAAATGGAATCTATATCTACCAAGTGCGAGTAAAAGGGATAGACGTTGCATCTCCACCAGTATGTGAGGAGAATGCAACCTACAAAATTGGAGGTGTAGTGTGGGTGAAGGACCCCTTGCACCATCTACACATCCAAATTTGGAAAGGGGGTGGTGACTGGACACCATGGTCTACACTCAGTTCTAGTCAATGAGATATTAAGGATCTTTTCCCCGTCAAGTGGGGTGGACAATGACAGTGTGTCTTCAGAATGTAAGAGCAAGAAGACAGCAAGTCATCAGGATCAGGAATCTTAGAAGAATGCAAGGATTCCACACAAATGCTCAGTGGCATGATGGATGATGATGAGCCGCTAGACTCAGATGAAGAGATTTCTCCTGTCCAATTCACCTCAACCAATGGCTCCCTGGCTGTCACCTGTGTGATCAGGAGATCAGTGAGAAGCGTAGCAACACAGAGCATAGCTTACCTAGTATAAAGTGTGTTAGAGTTGTTGCAGCTGTAGCAGGAAATTCAGTTTCAGGCCTACGAGCATGTGTATGCAATGACCATTATTTTATGAAATGAACATCACACCTATGCAAATGTATCAACACCTACCAGTTACTATATAAATGACTACATTGCTCGCTAGCGGAAAGAGGGAACTCTAAAGACAATACTAGTGGCGTGTAGCACAGTTGAGAAAGCAGTAAAGAAGACATAGGCAGAAGCCTCTTCGCACTAACTACAAAGTCTTCAAGACCGATTTATAAATCTATTTTTTGAAGGTCACACTATAGAATTTTCACATCAAGTCTAATAATACAGCTATGTTACACATAAACATCCTGTCAATTATGGTGAGATGAAGACAAATTCTATTGCTGTTGTGTCAGACATGTTGGAACTCGTAACATTAACTGCAGTAAATGAGCAGAACACATTCCAAAAAGAGTCTGAATGTTACAATGTTAACAGATTGACTACCAACTACGAGATAACTCATGGTTGGCAGTTTTTATTATGACTGACCATCTCATTTTCCCCACAAATAACTGGTACCTGGCATCTAAGGCAAGAATGAAAAAAACATTTCATGAGATTTTATTGAGAGTATAACACATAAACCATTTTAAAAACAACAGAAGTTTTCAATATCCAAACTAGGTGCTCAAATGTTGATTTCTGAAACCATCAACAAAGCAAAGAGGTGGTGTGTCTTCACAAAAGTACCATTTCTCATGATACTTTTTTTTTTTCTTTTTTTTTTTTTGCACAAACTTTGCAGAGTCTGGTTGGATGGTTTTTTCTCAATTTGTTTTATTGCCTAAGTTGGCTATTATAAGGTTGGTGTTGGAAAGTCAGATATTGTAATTGAAATCTAACAATCAGTGTCTTAAGGATTACTACTTGCTTACCTAATTAAGCAATATTATGCTTCATCAGATTGAAATAACTGATCATCTAGAAGAAACCATTTTGTCAGAAAACATTCACTGTAAAATGGTGCAGCTGTGGATATTACTTGTTATCAGGGCTAGAAAAGTTATTTTCCTGCATAAAGATTTCTTTTGTCTAAAATGCATTTTTTGTAAAATCTGAAGAGCAAATATTCACTTGATTAAACTCATATCCCTTACAAATAATTCAGAGCATGGCAGAAAAGGTTATGTAAAAAATCAATTGTTTTCAAGGTTCATTTACATTAAAACGGAATTTATAGTATTGACAAAAAAAAAAAAAAAAAAAAAAACTTAATTTACCCCTGTTAAATTCCACTTAAATATTTTGAACTAATATTCTGTGTCCACCTTCGGATTTGAATGCAAGGAAAAATAGTGTCTAAAATTAAATGTTTCAGTAATTTTTTTTTTTTTCATAGTTAAAAAAAAATTTGTGACCAATAAATTTGAAAATTTGTAAAACAAAAATAGTCAAAATAGTAAAAAAGGTCAGAGTTACTAACTTTAAATCTGAAAAGTCATATCAGAAGTAAAACAAAATGTAGTGTCTGAAATGCCATAGAATTTCATTACCAAGAAAGGATTAATACTGGACATGTTTCAACTTATGGAAAGATGTTTTCAGGTAGTAAGCTTATAGAAGCAGGAATAATTATTGGCAAGTAACCTTTTTAGTTTCATAGTTTTTTGTAGTTTTTCATGGAAATTCTACATCTTAGAGCACTATTATACTTTGCACTCCCAGATGCAAATTTCCATACTAACCCAGAGTAACTGCATGAACCAAGATGCATAGTGGAAAAAATAATGTTGCAACTCGAAATCACATGGAAGCTATGTGGTAAATCAAAATGGCCAACAAATTGTAAACATGATGGATGATTATTACTTTGTAGAGCTTCAAACATTGAAAGACACAAAATTTTATTATTTTTGCATCATTGATGTTCAATTAAAATGTCATAATGCAAATCTTAATGCACTGGAGGTGAATATATTGCTTTGAGGAAAGTGCAAAAGTATAATAGCACCCTACATTTTTAGAGGGGGTGGCGTGTCAATTCGGATTAATGACTTCAAATCAAAGAAGTCTTGGAATATGAGGCTAGTTTAAAAAAAATGTAAAAAGGCGAAGGGAGGTCAATTAATGTGTCAAGTATACGGACGTCGTTTGAAAGAGAGTAACTTCTGACAATTGAAAATTTTAAATATTTTGTAAAGATATTTAATGACGATTACCAATCCATTTGTATTTAGGAGACAAAAGTTTTCTCAGGTTATCTACCCTTGAAGAATGTGATGTCAAAGTATATTCAAAAGTTCAAAACCAATCATTTAATTAAGGAAAATGGATGTGAAAATTATGCATTTTATGCAAATTAGAACTAAGGCGCTTCTCTGTAAAACTCCCCCACAAATGAAGCAAAAACATATACAAACTAAATCTGTGACATTCACAGACTCACTCAATTATCACAAAAAAATGAAGCAAGATGATTTGAATGTGAGATTATGTATAAATAGACAATTAAAAAACATTTTTAAATACTATCTTAACTTTGTCCAAACTACAAAAATAGCTGAACAAAGCATGTACACCCCCACCCCATTTGAATATATTGCTGGCGGAAGGATAGATTTATTTTTAATTTCAATGGACTTTAATAAAAAAAAAATGTTTCTTAGATGCTAAAATTACAATTATTCAAGGCAGAACACGTTCTTAGTAAAAATTAAGAATCATTTAAAATAAAAACTAAAAATTAAATACAACTGTGAGAAGGGCAGTGCACATCTAACATTTTTCAATAAACAAGTACATCCTGAAATGAGTGAACTGTGAACTGAAATGTTTCGCAAAAAAATTACAAAAGTACAAATGTTGGAATTATTGAATGCAATTTGACCTTAAGGAATATAGGCAAATTTAAATAATTGTTAATAACTACTTTTTAAATATGTTGTTTGCTTAAGTATTTACTTCTGCTGATGTTATATCGGATTATACAATTTTTAAAAATTTTATTTTCAACTAAATGATTTTAAGCAACACTAGTACGTGGCATTATCAACAAAATATCCCTGAGTGAAACGTTTCCTCTTTTTAAAGCATGAAAAAAATTAACATCACACAAATTATCTATCACCTTGCTTGATTATTTGAAGTAAATTTTAAAACCAAGACTGATACATTTATTAATTCAATAACTAATTGTGTTCTGACTTATGCTCAATAAAGAAAAAAAGTAACTGCACATCTATTTATTAATTTATTTTAATAATTTAAAAAAAAAAAAAAATACACCTCTAAAATAAAAAAAAAAACACCAAAAAAACTCAAGTTCAGTATTTACATAAATTTTATATGTATTTCTTCAGTATTTAAAAGAAAATAATCTAGTGAGTGAAATACAAGGTTTATTATGCTTGAGGAACAGCTACACATTTCTCAAAATCGTTAATATCTATCTTTCTTTTTAAATTTGAGACTCGTCCATCTTAGAGACAAGACATCAAAACAATAAAACACCAAGAAGACCCTTTTTTTTTTTTTACTCCTCTTCCTTGACGAACAGCGCTTTAATGTTTAAGCAGTCCATAAATCTACACTGTTCAACTCATTCAATAATCGACAAAAAGGGGAAAACGTTTTAAATAGAATAATACATGTTTTAATACAATTAAGATCGTTAAAATATATCTGAAAATTTAAAGTAAAAAGCGTGTAAGCATACGCAGAAAAAAAATGCCCATGACATAGCAGAAATGCGGCTAGATGACTACCGGCTTGAAAATGCTTGCAGGTCATTTTTACCCCGAAATAAGTGATCGATATCAAAGTAACGATTGTTTATAAGCTATAAACTCACAAGATCTTGTTCTTCTTCTTTCGGTGGAGCCTTGGAATCCTTTTTTTCCTTAGAGTTAGCATCGGTTTTCTTCTGGTCCGCCATATTGTCTAATAACGTTTGAACGAGATTTGGTATATCGCTGTGTAGTTTTGTAAATTAACTTTTAGCTAGGATTATTTTTCCTTTAAATTCACTTTATCAAAGTAAAAGAAAATTATATGGAATAATAATAGCATTAGAACAAAAAATAATGATAAACTATTTTCGAATAAATATTACCCATCATTCCAGTTACAAATCTGTCGTCTTGAAGATTTGTTTTTTTGTTTTCATTAACTGATGAGTGACGAAAGTAAACAAACGCTTGACATAAGTAATTTTAATCACAGCCGATAACATTGGCTTTAAATGAAAATCATTTTGAATTGCCAGGAAATTAATCTCATTGATACCTGTCGACGCATCATTTCGTTATTTTATTTTTTAAAGATAAAACTTTCTCCGTAAAGGTATGTTGCAATAGTTTCTATGGAAACCAACTTTTTACTTCTTTTTCACAAGTTCTTCAACTTTGCTTTAAAGGTGAAAATACCGGTTTTTATTTTCTTATGTTTAAATATTCTTCTTAATTAAAATTTTCTAAGTAATTACCAGACGTATTTTAGTATTAACTCTTTAAAAGGAATTTTCATACATTTTATGGAAAATATAATTTGTTTAAAACTTAGAGAAAAAAAACTCCCAAGTAATTATTTTTATTTAGCTATAAAAAAAAAAAACACATGCAATTAATTAATTTTTAATTTTTTAATGAATCACTAGGAAATGTTTAATTATAAAATAATTTGTAAAAATCGGTAGCCAATGTATTTAATTCAAAATATTAAAAATAAATCACTTTTTCATTTATTTTTTTGTGAAATATGTCAGAGAAAAATATATTTGAGAAAAAAAACTTCGTAAATCATTCTTTCTTGGTATCATTTAATTTAATTTACAGATTAAAAAATTATATAAAACTAGCTTAAAAGCCGCCCTATCAGGCGGCATTTAAGCTAGCTCCTGTGGAGGGCTCTTAATTGAACCTTCATCACAATAGGTAGGGAGGAATAGAATACAATAGGCAACAATAAACTACAGAAGAACACAAAATAGATTGCTGCATTTAAGTATTGCATTTAAACTTACCTTTTAAAAGTTCAACAATAGTTCTGCTGCCACTTAATTTAGATGATTTGATGTACTTAGGTCCTTACTTTCCATATAAACAATTATTTTTATTTTAAGGGTTACTTTCATTAAATTAATTTTGACTATTCACAAATTTATTTCCAAGTTATAAAAATCGTTATTGTACAAAGAAAATTGTTGCAAAAAATCATGTAAAAAATTGCTGAAAGCAATCACAGTAATGAAAATTTGGGAATGCAAAATTTCAGGATTGCGGATCCAGATATGGCCCAGAATGCTTTTAACTTGCTCACAGAGTCAGCCTGATTCCAAAATGGTATGATATGTTGAACTACAGCCTCTAAGAGTAGAGTTGAAAATGTGTGACACAGTGACACAGTGACATTCACATTTATTATATACATATAAAAACATAAAATAACATTCATCATTTGTACTGTCAATTCTTCTTTGTAATCTAAGAATATAGATCACTCACCTGACACTTCCAAATGTTAAAGGAAGGTCATCTCACTGTAACATGTTTTAGAAATCTGCTGTTCTCCCAGTTATGAAACTATTTTTAAAATTTTATTTATTTAATGTCACTATGTTTACTGAGTGGAATGATTTCACCAGAATAAAGATTGCTTGGTCATGTAAATCTCTTGGTAAGACAAAACTATTAAACATATAAAGATTTACTTGGCACTAGTATCTCAGAAAGATAGAATCTTAAAGCATCAAATGTATTTTGGACATGTTCGAAGAACTAAGAAATGGCCACTGTTCTTAAGTTTAGGTTAGATGTGTTGGTTTTATAACATGTCACCCTTGTTGGGTTTAATGTTAAATTTTGTATGGACCACCTAGTGAGGATCAAATTTATTACTCAATAGTAATGGTTAACCAAACTAGCCTCACTAACTATTTACCTAATATTGAAATGCCATAACTCACAAGGGTGCCAAAAAAAAGTAAGGCAATCTTTAACTTTTTGTGCCTGCAAAAAAAAGGCAGTGTGTGAAAAGGACGTTTTTTTTCCTTTGACACCATTATTATTTTAACTACCTTCACCTCTTGGCAATCTTTATGGTTTTAAAAAGTGATGATTATAACTGTAAGAAAACCTAAACATATGATGAAAGTGAATTTATACATTTTTTTGTTCTTGAGAATTTACAACACTATTATTAAACACTATTAGATTGTTTATTTACAAGAATCATTTTATATTTACAACAATCTAAAAAGTATTAGTTTTTAGAATTGTATTAAAACTAATGCAATGCAATATTTATCATTTATCAATTTATAAAGAAATAAATATGAAAACAATATTTTATTCATAAATTTATAAACATTTACTAAATTATTAAAATATGTGAACCGATTATAAGGAAATCCTTATTATTTACCATTTTATAAAATTCAAATCTATTTTAGCAAATGTTTTGTCAACCATTCCAATAAATAGTCATAATTGCCAGCACTCACTCACATCTGAGCATCAGGATGGTCATCCACTCTCCTTATTTGCTTTCTTCTCTCTGGAAGAGTAGTCAAAGAGAGTTTGATGAGATCATTTGCATGAATTTGTTTTTGACTAACTGTCGTCTAACCTCGACTGACCGAACTGACTCCTACTGAGCCCTGACCACTCTTACTACTCCTACTTATTATAGGTGGGAGAGTCTATTAACTATAGAATAGGTGTGTTCCACTATAACAACTATTTATTTACATTTTTTCCTCGATAGGAGTAGACAAGTTTGCTTATCATCCAGTTCATGCTCTTCCTCAGTCTTTTGAACAGGAATAAAGGTTTATCCCTTGTTTCCTGTTTAGGATTGGGGTTCTGGTTCCCTCTAAAGTCTTGTCCTTCTCTTTACTTTCTGTAGCCCCTGCATCTTGCTGGCATTGTCACCTTGCTTGGGGGTGGTGCCTCTTACTCTGTAACCCTTTACCTTGAGTAGTTTTTGGGTCTTGTACAGGGTGAACATCATTGTAAAAAAAATTAATTGCTTTATTGTTTGCGAGCATTGTGATCAGGGCTGAATTATGACCTTTTGGGGCCCCTAGGCTAATGAAATTATGTGCCCACTTCATATGGAGTCATCTTTTAACTCACCCACACTCATCTTGAATATTTTTACTTGTGATATATTTTAATGACATTTACATAGCTTGAAGTAAACTTCTTGCAAATTCTTTAAATAAACTAGAATAGCTATCTTTTGTTAATAAAATATTCTTTAAGAAATACCACTATTTTACTATTTATTATCAAATCAAATTAACACATATTTCAATACAATTGTAGCAAAAGAACAGATTTTTTTATAACCAGCATTATAACCAATCTTGAGGGAATCTAGGCTGCAGCCTATACTAGCCTATAGGATAATCCAATTCTGATTATGGTGGGAACATCCTATCACACTTTGTGGTACTACGGGCCCTATTGATTAAACTATTTCATGTACACATATTTAACGATTTTAAGGAGGCTCCAGAAAAGGTGTTAAGAAAACGATTTTCACTAATGTTAAAATTAGTTAAAAAGTACACTGCTGCCAATTTTTTTATTAGCACTTGGAAAATGCTGTTTTGATTTTCTCTTTTGAAAAAAATAAATCTAGTCAAATTGGCATTCAGCATCCAAAGAGCAAAAGTGAGCTTGATTTAGGAAAAAAAAATGAAGCATTATTCAACTAGCATGTCATTTCTAATATGTTATATTTTATAAATGTGATATGTACAATATACAGGTGTTCTAAGTTCAGTTAATAATGTCAATTTTGACAAGAAAATACTTAGGAAAATATTTTATATTTATATTTTTTTTAATCATTCCACCCCAAGCAACATAGGAATTCCAAAAGTATGCAGGGCTGGGGGGGGTTACAGAGAGTGAAAGTGAGAGAAAAAACTGGGTATAGAGGAGATTGAGGAAAGGAAAAAAGATGAACAGGATTCAAGAAGATAAAAGATGATGATTGATGTTGTATTTAAATTTCTGAAGACTGTAGTTATCAAGGAAGCAAGTAAAAGTTCCACAGGTGGGAAATGTGAGAAAAGAAACTGTTGGAGTAGAAGTGGCAGTTACATTTAATTATTTCAACAGTAAAAGGGTGGGACCTAGATGCCAATGTAGCATGATGTTTGTCAGTGCACCAGAAAAAAAAAAAGCTTGTCAGAGCAGTTGCCATGAAAATATTTATAGAAAAGACAGAGGGAAGCCAAGTCAAGTCAGTTACAATGTGAATGAATTTGAGATGCCAAGTCAGGATTGATTATATTGCAGATCCATCTTTGGATTTTGTTAAGAACCTTGAGATGAATAGCAGAAGCATCAGACCAGATATGACAGCAGTATTCAATGCATGGATGAATGGTAGATTTGTAAATGTGCAAGATGGATTCTGATGAGAAATATTTTCTGGGTGACACAGTGATCCAACATTCCTTGCAGTAGATGCAGCTATTGATATGATGTAGTCGTTCCACTTCAAGTAAATTGAAAAAGTGAGGCCAAGAAGGCACAGTGTGTTGATCTCCAGAAGTCTAGCATCAGTGTTGCTGATGGCAGGCAGGAAAGTTTCTCTATGGTGGTTAAATGAGAGCAATTTTGTTTGGAGGCATTAAAATTTACAAGCCATTTCCTGCCCCAGCTAACCACTTATTGGATATCCTTTTCAAGAGCAGCAGCCAGGTTTGCTTTGTCACCTCTGATGGATTTGCTATTGAGGCAGGAGTAAATGGTAGTGTCATCTGCATAAATGCATACTTAGGAACTGATGACATTAGGAGAATCATTGATTAGAAACAGCATGGGGGGGCATAGAGCCTTGGGGGACACATGCATTCATGTGAAAGTATCTGGAAGCAAGCGTATTCATGTGAAAGTATCTGGAAGCAAGCCTATTCAT